ACCATTGACCATTGACTATTGACTGATTACCTTTTCTACATCTATATCTACACATTGTACCAGCGTGAGAAATCTATCAAAAGGAAGACTTCATTTGATAGATAGATGGATAAACTGTATCATACGTATGCTGTATTCAAGAAAGCTATATTTCCAACTGAATACTTTCAGACCGACGATATAGATTCATAAGGTTGTGAATCAACCATTTACTTCAGACAGCTTCAGATTAGAATAAGACTCCACTGACTCGACACGAAATTAGAAACTGTTAGGTCTGTAACGCGATACGACGACCATATAGCATATACCGATTATGTCAAAAGTAACCATAACCATTACCGATACAATATATAAGGCCTGCACGCTCCGTGGTGACGTCACCTTTGGTAGGCTTTTAATACCGTCTCGAGACGATTAAACGCCTTATGCGTATATTCCAATTTTAACTATAGATCATTTCATGAGCCGATTTTGCTGTGTTTCTTTGAACAGTGAGAATAATCAAATCTAATCAAATTGGCAATGTTTGTAGTGATTCAATTTTATGACAGGTCACATTATTTTTCCTATACAGAGCCCCCCCCCCCATCCTTCCAAAACGTTTTCTGAGGATGATTTAAAAACACCTTTTTGCCACTATAGTTGAAACGACTTGAAATAATAAGTTTGTAGATGTAGATAGTTTGTTATGAATACTTATACTGATTTTAAGATTGCAAAAAAAGACGGTGCGTTTTCAATTTTCCTTTGATGATGGAAATTTCGTGTAGCAAAATGATGGTGTTTTTTGAATGCAGATTTAATTTTAATAACAATTGCTTCTATATTAAATCCCGAGTATTTTTGATTTTCAATCACGTATTTCCACATCTTTCAGTAAATGATAAGAAACTATATACTACGAAAGCGCTGAACGGACATGATACTTTTTTTTTATAATTGCCAGATTGATCTGGCGATTAGCCATAATTGCCAGTTTGAACTGGCAATTAGCCATAATTGCCAGTTTGCTCTGGCAATTAGTCATATAATTGCCAGTTTGAACTGGCATTTAGCTATAATTGCCAGTTTGAACTGGCAATTAGCCATAATTGCCAGTTTGCTCTGGCAATTAGTCATATAATTGCCAGTTTGAACTGGCATTTAGCTATAATTGCCAGTTTGAACTGGCATTTAGCTATAATTGCCAGTTTGAACTGGCAATTAGCCATAATTGTCAGTTTGAACTAGCATTTAGCGCTTCCGTACGAGAGGATCTAGTCATATTATTGCCATCTAGTGACGTCAAAAACTAATGCGAAGGCGAACGATTAATTCGACCAACGCAAAGGGCGAGTGAAATGATAATGAATTATTGGCATTCAATTACTCCACTGTGTCGTTAGAGACCTATAGTATATTGTTTAACAAGAACGGAATGTTAGTGATTCTCCCAGAGAATGAAATTTGCAGCATGAGCCGTAGGCAAATAATGCTGCAATCATTCGAGTGGGAAATTAGTATTCCCTGCGAGTTATACACCATAATTTTTCTACGGCTGTGACAGATAACAGCGACATTCTCGATTTCTTCTTCTTATAGCCATCTACTTTTCTCTCAAGTAATGGGCATCTATTAGACAGAGCTGTCATTGCTTGAACTGTGACATTCCATTTGCGGGGTCCTATCGTACGAAAGCGCTAAATGCCAGTTCAAACTGGCAATTATAGCTAAATGCCAGTTCAAACTGGCAATTATGGCTAAATGCCAGTTCAAACTGGCAATTATGGCTAATTGCCAGTTGAAACTGGCAATTATAGGTAATTGCCAGATCAAACTGGCAATTATAAAAAAAAAATTATCATGTCCGTTCAGCGCTTTCGTCATATACAGAGTCATCAGATCATCTTTATTTCGTTATCAGATTCACTAAAAATGGCAACTCAGTTGATAAAATGCAATTTTGAGGTTTTTTCGAATACTAATGTAGTATTTTGGGTATATAGGTTATTATATTTTGTATTTCATGCATAGACGAATTGACGAAGAGCAAATAAGAGCATTCTGTTGCTGAATGTCCGCCGATTATCCCGAACAATCTAATTTCCATAACCCGAATAGCTCTGAGGATAATAAAAATGCCTACTTATATCGGCTGAACTCATTCCATACATTTCTGTCTAGTTATGTTTTCAGAATCGATACACATAGAAATTTATTATGAGAAAAAAAATATACGTTCGATGGCCGCGACATTCGTATTTAATGTATTCATAAGAATGCTTCGTATCTACGAATCGATCTAGATTGACCGAACAACTTTCATCTCTAGTCACCTGAAGTCTAATTCTTCAGATCCCGAACTATTTAGTCTAGAAGCCTACGCACATAAAATGTTTAACAGAATATTTATCAGAATTCGATGGATAAAAAAAACAGATATTACACCGCCTCTTGTTATACGACGCTATACCTATATTTCAATTCAATATATATCGAAAACAAATGGAAAAATCGAAAATTATCAGAAGTGCAAAGTTATCCACTGAAACATTTCCTACAAATTATTACTCATAATTTTATCAGTAAACCCAATAGTACAGGAAATAAAGTAAAAAATATGAAAAAAAAAAATTGAACGACCCATAGGGTACCATGAAGATATATTGAAAAACAAAGATTATCGATAGATGAAGCTCATCGACTTCCACTGAACCATGAAATATTTTTTCCTTTCGTTGATTGGAAGATGGAACAAAAGTGTTGAAAATTCTCAGATAATTCCAAATATCTCGAAAACAACTGAAGATATCTGAAAATGTTATGGAACCAAAAATATTCCTTTCGATAGAATCTACAAAAAATCCGTATAACATTTTTCTCTGAATTCAATAGTTAGGGAGATACGATGAAAAAACTAAAACAATTACAAGTTCCTAGATAATCACTTGCCATCAGAAAACAAAACGGATAACATAAAGAAAGTAAAAAAAGCACACTCGACTGTCTTGATTTTTTTCTCATAAACTACGTACCTAGCTCACTCGACTGTCTTCATTTTTCGCCAAAATATGTTGGCATTGTTTTAACTTTCTTTTGTTTTTGTTTTTTTAGTCCCTATAGGCATTCGAGTGGGCTAGGTACGTAGTTTGTGTGAAAAAACCAAGACAGTCGAGTGGGCTAAGTACGTAGTTTGTGGGAAAAATCTCCAGTTCTCTGAACTTTCATAGCGTCGTATACACATCATTGGTGCCCAATGATAGTTTCAATATAAAAATATGCTCATGATATGGTGCCATGGCCTCTACTTCCATCTTACATGAGCAATGATAAAATATCATCTGCTTTTATAGCGTCGTATAAATTATCTGACCTCTATACTAATCTAATACCTAATGAAAACTACATCTATACTAATCTGATACCTTTCAAAAACTATACGTACCTCACTTGTTGCTATTGTACTTAAATGTTTATATGGTATAATAAATTTTAAAAATTTGAATGAAAAAGATTTTGAAGGTATAGAGAAAAATAGTCTTATTTAAGGTGTTCTCAAAGGGGCGTAGCTTCCTTAGAGAACATTTTCGGATCCATATTAATGGGAACATTTTGCCTTATTTAAATGCAAGGATTGCGCCTCTGGAAAGTTGCTATACTTACTTTTGAATCACCCTGTATAACTAGTGTTGGAACGATTCCAATAAATATTTGTATTGTATTTGATCTGAGGGATCACCCTGTCTCAACATCAGATTCTTTGCCTATCAATTTGGTGTGATTTCCTAGTGCATAAAATAAGTTCGGTTTATTGTTCGTCTATTCGAAGTAAATCGATTGACCCGACCACAACTATTTGACTTTTTTGTTTCAAATCATGAGGAAGAATATTTCAATCCTTATTTCTACTTGGTTCACACGAAGCTCGATTGCCGCCTTTCCCACAGCTTCTTAAAAAAGAAATTCCATAATCTAGAATTACTTCATCTGATGCTGGCCAAGTATATGGAGCTCCTGCTACAGATTATGCAGGAAGTCAACTAAATATAAGTATAATTAATATGGCTTGTCATTTCGTCTGGAATAGCGACTGAATATTCATAGATTCGATAATGGGAAATTTTGATTCAGCATATTCATAACGTCCGTTGATTGATTGAGACATCAGACAATTTGCACAGCATACGTGATAACTCGAGAGCGAAGAAGCGGTTTTGATGAGAGAGTTAGTTTCACATGATATATACAGTGTGTCCCAGCGAAAACTTGTCATCCCGTTTGGCTTCATCTCCGAAGACGTATAGAAACAACTGAAATTTATACTCAGATAGAACTAGTTGTAAGTGATGTGATTGAATTCCCTTCAAATTGATGTATCATATGCAAATAGGTAATATACATTTCAATTTTCATCTCAATACTGAACATATAGGTGAGTTATATATTTTTATATCATAATACATCATGTTATTTCATCCGATTTGAGAAATAATGTCAATTGTCAATTTCAGAGGATTTTTATTTTTCATGCTCTCGTTTTGGATATTCAACAGATATAATTCAATGTTCGACGTGGCAAATAGCCAGGAAAGTAATTATTTTCTGTTGAATATTCAGAATGATATTATGTACGTATCTTTATATGAAGGAGAATGCAAATTCTCTACTTCAGAAGCTTTTGTGTATATCTGAGAATATTCCTTTCCTATAAACTCACATGAAGCTACTGTGTTAGCGAAACATGTGGTTTTGAGAATTCTCTGGAAATCTCATCTTTTGTGAAGTATCTCACAATTTCTATGGATTTTTATCGCTTTCAAGTGGGTATCAATGCGAGATTTATCAATGTTCCAAAATTTCATTACATGATATCACTGCGAAAATTCCATCATAGTAGTCTAGGCTGTCATCATGGACACGCCCTGTATTCCACTTTTTTATCGAAACCGCTGCTCCACAGTCAATCAAACTATTTATATGAGATTCCCATGAACTCGGTCTGATATTCTTTCTTCGAGATGCGAAAGCCAGTTGCTCCATTGGGTATCGTTCACGGGCTACTAGAGTGGACGGTCAAACAATTGAATTTCAACCGCAATCCGTTCCGGTCACCAGATCAGGATCGAATAGTGACGGGCAAAGATGAGATATCCGTTTTTTCTTCTCGTCGGTATACTTTGACTAAATGGTACTGAAATTGGAGATGAAATTGTTAGATATCGTTTCTTGTCTAGCAAAAAAAAACGGTATACAAAGCTCCCAATTCGAATCACAAGGAAACTATATCTGTATATTCGGATGTATTTTTTGATCAATTTATTGTTGTTTTGGAATCTACGCTGAATTCCAATTCCATTTAAAACATCATATATCCAATGTACACTTTTTCTGAGTTTCTCAAGTTTTTTCCAAATTTTGCGAGAGGTAGAATGGGCGAGTCGACTGATAATAGTGATTATGTTTCTATGTTTCTGGGATGACCCCAACGTGGTGTTTGTTCTATTTTCCCAGAGGACATCATACTCCCTCTACAATCTACATTATATTCCTTCGACCAGTGTTGCCGTTTCAGAATAAGGAATACGCATGATTTTTTGTTTAATCGAAATTATATTCATTCTTTCTTATAATAACATTGGATATCATTCATTAATCTCAAATTTGCTTGTGACTCTAAATAATTTCATTTAAATGAGGCTAAATATGAAGTCACAGGAAAACGGGTTAGTGGCCATCACTGAATGACAAGATTCAGATTGAAAAAAAAAAGAAGAAGAAGAAGAAGAAGAAGTGGTAGGAGAAGAAAACAGTTTTAAACGCCAGAAATTTGAAATTTGAAAATGGAAAATGATGTTTATACCAAATACTGTTTAGTGCCGCAAAGTCTTTCATCAACAAAAATATCACCAGGAAAAATATTCCTTTCATTGCCAGTGGGATCGAGTGATAAAAATAAAAAGAAAAGAAAATTATGGTTGCAGGCCATAAATAGAAATGATTTATCCGAGAAAACCAGAGGATTTGTTTGTGAAGACCATTTCGAAGTGAGTATACGTTCAAGTATGTCCTAGTGAAACCCATTATATATCAATGATTATGTTCCTCATGTTATTAGGAGAATAATATAATATGTGATTTCGTTGTCAGCTTGAAGAAGATATGGAAAACTATTTGTGAGATATAAATTAATAGGTGGTAATATATATTTGAAACAACATGCAAAAAGAAGTCCTGTTTGATCATTCTTATTGTAGATATTTGCTTATTATTCAGTTATTATTATTCAGAATATTGAGATCATATAATTGAGATAGATTATAGAAACTACAAGCTCAGATAATCATAACCTCACTTTCTCTTATATTATTTTCAATCTTTCGGACATGAATGTTTGACATGACAAATAAAAACAGCCACATCCAGTCGGAAATCATCGCTGCAGTTCGGCTGTTGGTCGGAAAGTTGCAAATATTATGATTTTCAATCAGAAATTATTAAATATTCGGTGCTTAATAATGTTTTTCGGATGTATAATTCGACATCTATACATATGAGTAATGGAACAAAAATATATTCCAGTGTAAAATTTTCACACGCGTATACCCTATTCCAATTTGCACTAGAAACCATTTCGAAATTGTACTAATTTCAAGTATATCTTACTAAATTGAGAAAATTTCACTCCAAAATTTACGATTCACACATCTGGTGAAAAACTTCATATTCATTTATGAAAATTAAAAATAATAATATACAGCACATTGAAACACCTCTGGAAAACAAAGGTCGTGGAACAATTATAACTAATAAAAGCCGAAAATAAGAGATGAAAAGGAACAGATCAGATCACAGATTGATATCAAATACTATTATACTAGCAATATAAGATATTGTCACACCGGCGCCTCCACCATATGTCACACCTGTGACTAGTGCTCGGTCTAGGGCGTAGCTTAAGGGGTAGTTTTATGCATTCATGACTTGGAAATAACGAGGCAATTATGTAAAATGTGAAACAGTTTATTTGAAGTAAATGCACCAAAGGGAAAATACTAGAATGACCACAAAGTATGAACAAAATATGAAAGAAATACTATCTGACACAAGGGTTACTCACCAGGATAGAAAGGTGTCAAACCACGACCTCATCGTTGGGCTCGGCAAGTACGACTGTCCCTCTGATTGATTTCCCTACTCCTCAGGTTGAATATGATTATTGATGATCAATGCAGTATCAGCAAGCAAGTACAATGCCCGCAGGGAATGAACTCGCCTAGCTGAGACTGCATATCGGAAATGGAAGCGAAATATGAATTTAACAAATAATATCTATCGTGTTGAATAAAATGATTTTAGGAATGGATTTTATATTTGGTTCGTGAAATCAATCAGATTATGGGATTTTTCCTCAAGCTTGACAATATTCAATTCATCAATAGCATTCATCAATAACATTGTTTCTCCGTTGAATTAGAAATCATGGACTTTTTATCAATGAGGGCTTCATTAGGATTCCAATTATACATATCTTCTCCAAATAATTGTTTTGTACAAAATAATAGCTTGGGCTATCCCGGTTCTTGTTTTTATACTAGATTAGCGTTAATTGTATAGACGTACTGAATGTGTATGAAATGTACTAGAAAAGTACAATAGTACTAAAAACGGCAACTCTGCCTTCGACACCTGATCCATCCAGCCGCTTCCGCCAGGGCCTACTCTAGAGGCCTGTTCGTTTGTATTGCTAAACTTGCTAAAGTTGATACCGAGGTTGATACTTTTTCCATAGTTGTCTCTGTTCATGGCATGATGTAAACAAAGTAAGTCATAGAAAAAAATCAAGTTCAGCAGGTAGAGCAAGGACAAACGAACACGCTTTACGTGAGATAGAGTAGGCCCTGCTTCCGCTGTCACTGTTTCGGAGTTCGCTTTTTCTGCGCCGCAGTTCAATAGGTCTCATCTTGGGGCACCCGCATCTCTCCATCAATTCCATTAATGCCCGCTGTTTTGCATTTTCATAGCGGCCATGCAACAGAGCCGACCGCCGATAACATCTGAACTCTAAACCATCGTTCTGAACAGTCAGTTCTCGATATTTGCTGAGCGAAAGGCTGTTTTGTTTATGGGAGTAACTGAACCGAAGATTACAGGATATTTGTTTCTGACGAGCAACTCTCCACCATAACTCCATAGTAAACGTAAAAAACTCCAATAAACCTTTATTATGTACTTATACTTACGAACCCAAAGAGTTACAATTACAGACTAATTAATCTTTGATCTTTGGTAGAAGTCCATATTGCTCAAAGTGAAGTTAAATAAGTATTTGAAAGGAAGGAAGGAATGCTTGAAGTCACCATTCAATGATGTTGTTACATAATCATAAGAGACATGTTTTGGTCTTATTAAAGACCATCTTCAGCCTAATTGAAAGTTCTACAGTACAAAAACAAAGTTGAAGTTGGAGTGAAAGAATTACCCAATTTGTGCTTGACTTACTTGGAGTTGAAAAGAACTTTTTGATGCTACAGTTTGTTGACTTGTTGTCGATGCCCATAGTCAAGAAATCAAATTCTTGATGAAAAAACGGGTCCTCAATAAATGAAGGGCCTCATGCCCTGAGAACGCATACTATTATTTTCATCAAAAGTTCATATACCAAAATGGTATATGAAAAGTATTGCCAAGAGGTTTGTTTTGACATTACCATAAATTGAAGGGTTTTTTAATAGGGGGTTCCCCGTGCCCTTATGGAAGCGCTACATAAAATTGTTATCAATCAATTGTTATCTCAATAAAATTGTTGGGGCAAACAGCCAGCACGTGTTTAAAGCTGAACTAATTTGGTTGAAAAACACTGAAAATAATGTCAATTAATGACGTAGGCAAGACGTTGACATGAGTCAAAGTCAATGTCAAGGAATAAAACATAAAATTCTGACCATGACCATAGACATATAACAAGAGGGAATAGAATGTAGATGCATGTAGGGAAGAGTTGAGCAAATCTGAAAAACCATTGACTATGAAATACTTACCATGGAGTAATAGTTGAGTTAATCTTTCATTGCGGAAAGTTTGCAGAATATCTACAGTGTGGAGATTTTGAGAGAGGGACATTAACTTGCTACTATATATATTAGCAAAACATGCCGCGTATTATTGAGAATTTTGTGGGAAACTCGTGTATGTTGATAAAACAGAATTTATAACCTAGATAAGGATTCTGAAGAACTTCAAGAGTTCAAATAATCTACAATACGTTTCTTCTCTCTCTCCACAGTAACTCATGTTGTTCGATGAATGAACATATTAGGGATTTTCTGTCGTACGATCCGAGAATATAAAAATTTCGTATGAAATCTGTCATAACATATACTTAAACGTAGTGGATATTTCATGAGGTGTATCTCTAAATTATTTATCTATGCAAAAGTTGAACTTGAATAGAACTCAACTTCTTCGAGAACTTTTCATTGTTCTTACAGAATTATTATCTTATTGTTGAGTATCCTACGAAGATAGATTCTAAAAGTTGCTTGAAGGTATTTCAAAGTTAGTATATTTTAGAAGTATTCAATGTACTGTAATTCTAGAAAAGCAACAATTCTCAAATTGTCTCACTATATATCTCATTAATTTTTTTCTATCTCTTGGAACGCACGAAAGGGAATCTCTATATTCTTGGGAATACTTGAGCCCAGAAACCATATCATCTATTTTTAGCCACCAATTAAACTATACCCTGTATATGTATATACTATTCATCTCTTGACTACAGGTACGCTTGACTTTAAGCATGTACTATATCATCTAGGCTCTCGAAAATAGGAAGGCCTGTTGAATCAGATAAAATCTAGACTGAAAGAGCCCGACGAACATTCTAAAACCATTAAATTTACGTTCAACAAATCGAGAACTCATTTCCTAGCCAGTTCCTTCTTTCCATTCGAATTGCCTCCTTTCGCCACGTGTGATTTATATTCGTTTCTAATGACCTTGTGAGTTCAATTGAAATGCCGAGAGTGATGCAGTTCGAAGAGATAAAAAAATTGATTCGCTTGACCCTATAAAACTGGCACTGAAGCAACTAGGTTAAGTAAATGGTTATACTTCTAGCTAAGGATTCCGAGCCACCACCATTCTTTCGAAATTTTATTATTGTAAGACTGGTAATAAAAATTAGTCTAGAAGT